TGTGGAATTTTTAACTGTTTTCCAATTGTTGAACTATTTTTGCATAGACAAAAATACAATGCATTGAAAATCATCAGTAGGCAATCGTTAGATGGGCTGAAATGCACAAAACGCATGATCGCACCGGCTAGTCTGGTGCGCGTTGCTATTTATTAAATTCTATTTCTCTTTCGGAGATTGATAAACAGTTCCTTTTTGGCATGTTTCGTGTTACACAGTTAGTTCAGTGAAATTTTTACAGATATTTGGAGAATTTCGCACGGGCAAAAGTCAGCTGTGTCATACTGTGGCCGTTATGTGTCAGCTGCCGGTGGATATGGGAGGTGCTGAAGGGAAATGTCTTTGGATTGATACTGAGGGTACATTTCGCCCTGAAAGATTACTTGCCGTTGCTGAAAGGTCTTATTTTTTTCGCGATTAAAAAGGCCTGATTTTGTTGTTTGGATTCCTACGAGTTTGCAGCTGAAAGATATTTCAGACATAAATTATCTGGTCAGGATGTCCTGGATAACGTTGTGTATGCGCGATGCTATAACACTGACCACCAAATGCAGCTTCTTATTCAAGCCTCTGCTATGATGGCAGAATCAAGGTTTGATTGTCAAAAAAAATTTTTTTTTTACAAAATATGAGCCATGGACCAATTTTTTTTTTTTTGTAATTATTTCGCTTTATTGAATGCTACTTATCACATATTTTGCTCTAAACTTCGTTAAATTTGGGCCGCGTGCGTCCTTTCCTTTCTTTCCTGCCTTGCATTTTTTTATCTCTTTTACCTTTCCAAATAGTTTCGATCAAAATCGATGAGAAGTTGTCAAAATACGCAATGTCCACATATTAAACTGAACAAATTTAAAGAAATGCTTACTTGCTTGATCTCATCATTGCCTGAAAAACGCTGCCAGAGGTTTTCAGTATACCTAGCTTGTTGCGAAGTATGAAAGTAAATCAGACTTGCCACTCCTCCGCTTTTGGGACAATTCTTTGGTTGAAATTTCGGTAGCTTCCCGTTTTTGGCCTCATATGGGTGTGAATATCGACCACCTTTACACTTAGGAAATGCTTCACAAAATTGTCCAGGATGGCTTCAGTAGAAATCACAAATATATATATATATATATGATTCTTTGTTTTGTGATTAATGCAATCTTGTAGTTGGGTTTACGATAGCCGCATTTCGTGTAGGATTTGCGTCCATCTTAGTTATCTCGTTCTTAGAATTAGAGCAACCACTGTTGTTGGCCACCTGAAATGCAGAAATCATTTAGATACGCGCTACTTGTTGTTGATAGTGCAACTTCGTTGTTTCGTACGGATTTTTCGGGACGCGGTGAACTTGCTGCTCGTCAGATGATGCTTGCCAAATTTCTCAGGATGCTTCTGAAGTTAGCGGATGAGGTAAATCTTTCTTCTGCATTGCTTTGCTGTCGGAATTCTAGAAGATGCTGTAGACAAAGTTAATTTTAGTTCGGCGTTGCCGTCCTTATAACAAATCAAGTCGTCTCGCAAGTGGAAGGAGCCTGTGGAATGTTCCAAGGCGAAACAAAGAAGCCAATTGGAGGCAATATTATTGCTCATGCGTCTACTACCAGGTTGGTACTCTGTAAATGAATAGATCAGCGAGTTAACTTTTCCCTGTTTGCCCAATGCCATAGTGCTTTGAGCGCCTCTATATGCTTGTCTGTATTAAATTTTTTTTTTTGCGAATTTATGCGCGAAATGCAGTATGAGTTTACTTGCTTTTTGCTTATCCCTTTCGATTTTACCTCAGAAATGAATTTCACTATAAATTTATGAAATTATCTTCCATCTTAGCTTTGAAGTCCTTTCACGTTAGCAGCTGCTAATCCATTCGTCTCGACTTCTTGCTTCCGATTCTTCAAACGTTTTTTGAATCGCTGGTTTTTCTCATTGTTTGCTTTGTTTGGAACAGTTTTTCGTATTTATTTTTCAGGCTTTATTTGCGTAAAGGTCGTGGGGAAACTCGCATTTGTAAAATCTACGACTCGCCATGTCTTCCAGAAAGTGAAGCAGTTTTCGCGATCACCAAGCATGGTATTGATGACGCTACAGATTAAAATTTATGTCGTTATTTAACAGTGGAATAGTTATATGTGGTCCAAAAAAATTTCAAAAGAATATGGTACGAAGAATTATCGTGGTTCAATGTTTTTTATTACTTGTGAGATCTTTTCTCATAATCCAAATTACTGGCACTAAGCATAAATTACTGTCTTTTCCTTAAAGTTTTTTTTGGCCGTTTGCTTTTTCCCTTGTCATTTTTATTCTGAGCTTTCGCTTTTAATTGTTTCAACGTATTTTTATTTCGTTGATCTACCATGGTTGTTGTTTTCATCATTAAACATTTGCTTTGTTTTGATTTTGAAACGTGAATTGTGTTCATGCAGGTCAGTTTTCAAGCAGATTAGCTCTTTTTTTTTTAAAGTTTTGTTATAGCATGATTAGATTTTTCTTCGAGTTGAAATTGTAATGAATGAATAGGCTTGTCTCATCCCTCAAAAGCACAGCAGTGGACCTTCCAAGATATATTTCTGCAAAATTACTAGACATAACTTGGGGCAGCAAGTATGTTATCCTCATCCATAATTTTTGGCAGAGAGTGGAGCCACACACCACATATTCCGATAGTTCCATGCTTCATTGACCGGTGAACTAAGGTCTGGGATCTCTTTGCTCATTCTTTCCTAAAATACAAAATTATTTAGAATTTAGGGTTGGGCGCACTCAAAGATAGTTTATTGACCATATGTTATCCGGCAAATAAAGAAATTAAGATTTCAATCTTTTTTTTTTTTAATTTCTTGTTTTGCAACCTTATTTTGCGCCTGGTCTCGCAACGTTATTTTGCATCTGGACACTGGTCGGACAAAAGATGATTTCATGTCCTTATTCGTGATGTTAGGTAATTTTAGCTACAGTTTTATGGCCTTGTTCGTGCACATGGGTTATGTTCTCAAAATATCCCAGCTTGTGTCTCTTCCGAATTGAACTACCGGCACGAACACACACACACACGCACACAGCTGCAGATATGATCTCATTACAAAAGTGCCTTTTGTGATCAGGTCTTATGTTCTCGTCA